AATCCTCACCCAAAGATATTTTTCCATTGATTTTTAGAAAGCGTGGAAGAGAGAGGGAAAGACAGAGATAAGTATCGATGTGAGAGAGCCACATCGATTAATTGCCTCCTGCACTCGCCCTGACCAGGGCCAGGGCTGGGGAGAAATCTGCAAACGAGGTACGTGCCCTTGACCAGAATTGAACCCGGGACCCTTTGGAACTCAGGCCACACTCTATCCACTGAGCCAAACTGGCTAGAGCTGGGATATTTTTTAAGGCATAAATTCTCAAAAACAAAGGAATGGACAAGTGTTAAGTAACTTAGCAAAACCAAGAAAGAAAACATAGGCTAGCAATGGGAAAAGCTGAGAGGCAAATAGATTTATATCACAGACTCTTGCCCCCAAGTAGCTCAGGAATTGGCTAATTTGGAAGAAAGGATAAAGGTGGGGCTATAAACAGATAAACAGAGAATCTAAGAGCAGTTTGATCTCTAGATCCTTTGTCTCATTCCTCCACGCCTTAAGACTGGAGGCTCGTCCTCCGAAGAGGGTATAACAGCGGGTCCTTAGGTTAGGGGGACCCCAGTGCAAAACTTGAGGTGGGAGTGCGGGGGGTTGATGAAGAATTATTGACCAGTGCTGAGGCTCCTTCTCCACGCCCCTTCCCCACCAGGTCCAGCCGGAAGATGCTTCCCTGGGGAATATGAATAGCTAAAGAGCAAAGTCTCAAAGATACCAACGTTTGGTGGCTTCCCCAAGTAAACAGTCGATCAGATTCCCCTACACAGAAGCCCCCAGAAGCTTTTAGAGCCCTGCTTAAACAGGAGCAGAAAACCAAAGATTACCACTCTGCCAGGGAAAGCCTCTAATGCCTTTACAGCCTCTGCCCCACAGATGAGTTGATACAGAAATGTGGTATATACATACAATGGGGTATTTATTCAGCCTTATATACAAAAGAATACTGTCACATGGTACAACTTGGGTGAACCTTGAACACATTATGCTGAGTGAAATAAAACAATCACAAAGAGCCAACTACTGCATGATTGCACTTATGTGAGGTATCTAAAGTAGTCAAAATCATAGAAACAGAAAAGTAGAATGAGGAGTTGTTCGTTGGATACAGAGTTTCAGTCATACAAGATGGAAAATTCTAGATATCTATCGTGCAAAAATGTGCAGATAGTTAACAATACTGTTCTGTACTCTTAAACATTGTTAAAAGAATAAATTTATGTTCTGTGTTTTTACAATTAAAACAAAGTGAAGGGAGTAAAGTAATGTATGAAGGGAGAAAAAATGTCAATTAGAATTATCATTATCATCCTCAGAGAGGCAAGAGAAGATATTGATCCATGAAACAAAATTGGGATACTATTTTTAAAATATTTTTAAAAATTGATTTTGAGAGAGAGAGAAACATCAATGTGAGAGAGAAACATCAATCGGCTGCCTCCTGAACGACCCCAACTGGGGATTGAACCAGCAACCCTTCAGTGCACAGGATGACACCCAACCAGCTGAGCCACACCAGCCAGGAATAGGATGCTATTTTTAAACAATTAAAAAGAAGTATGTGGACAAGAAAAGATGAGCCAGGCCAAAGAGGAAATAAAACCAGGCCAAAGATCAAATAAAAGGAATTCCTGAAAAATAAGGGAGGAAAGATTTTTTTGATTCATCAAAGAGAGTATTTTACTTTGTTTTCTTTCTTTCTTTTTTTTCTTTTACTGGAATTAAAGGACTTGACTTTCCAGATTAAAGGGTTCAAAAGTACCTAGGAATGTAAATGAAAATAAACTCACACCTAGACACATTTTCATGACATTTCAGAACTTTGGAAGCCAAAAAGAAGATCCTACAAAAATGGCCCAGGAGAGGGAGTCATTTTCAAAGGATTGAGACTCTGAACAAAAGTAACATCTAAAGCTGAAACAGCAGTGCCTTCCAAGTCCTAATTCCAAGAATTATTTCCAACCTAGAAATCTGTATCTAGACAAATTATCCATCAGTTGTGACAATAATATGAAAACAATCAGACATACACATTTTCCTACCACACACTTCCTCTTAGGAACCTGTTGGAAGATGCCTCACTGTAATGAGGAGAGACACAAGGAAGAGAGAAAGATGTCGGATACAGAAATAAAAGAGAGATGGAGACACCCCTGGGAGTATGGTGGAGGAACACCCTGGGGCAAAAGCTAGGCATCAGACATAGAAGCCCCCTAGTACAGATTGCAGAAACTCTGAGGTATGAAGGAAGAAGAAAATGTCAAGTAGAATTATCATTAACACCAGCAGAGGGGTAAGAGAAGATATTGTATCCATGAAACAAAATTAAGACGCTATCCAATCTTTTTTTCACATGAGACTTAGATAATTGTGCAGAATTTAGGGGGTTGAAATAATGGTAAGTATATAGAAAACTAAGCACAGACTTAAAAAGATAATTATTAACTCTGCAAAATACAAAATGCTGTCAAGGAAAGAAAAATAATCATAGTAAATTTAATGACTTAGCTATGACTGTCTTTTACATAGCTGTGATAATATAACCCTGAATATTTCTCTAAACAAAGTTATTATATTATGACAGGGTGGTGCAAAAGTAGGTATAAAGTTATTAGTATAGAAAATAATACAATAATTAATAAATAAGAATACAAGACTAGACTCTGTGTTTTGCTTACTCACAACTGTAAACCTACTTTTGACCCACCCTGTATATTGGGAAGTAAGAAGGGTTAGTGTAGAAGATCACAGAGGTTACAGATAAAGTGTGAGACAGCTTCATCTTCAATGTTGGGAAGTTAATAAAAATGCTTCAAACAAAATAATTAAAAATTTGGCGCCAGAGGAGCTCCACAAGTGTGTGTGTGTGTGTGTGTGTGTGTGTGTGTGTGTGTGTGTGTGAGTTGGGGGGGGGGTGTGTCTAGCTTTGCAGACCTAATTAACTCTTAAATTATGTTTATGTATAACTTTGATTTTAAAATATTTTTAAAGTAAAAAACAAGTACTGAAGTGCTTAGCATAAAGCCAGGAACTTCAAATAAGGACATACACACAGAGATTATTTCTACCACTACCATGTTTGAATTTCACAAGTCTTACCTTTTTAATTCCAAGGAGCTAGATTCTACAAACATGCTAATATTTTACAATGATTCACTGAAGGATAAGCTGATTCATTTTTTAATGAAAATAACCAATCTGCAGAATGTAACTTGTCTTGTAATTTATTTATTTGTTCATTTTTCTTTCATGTTGTGCTTGGATTTTAGCCTAGAGATGTAAATGCCTGTGGAGGAAGATGGAGGTGGGAAGAAAGGACTGATTATATGGTTTCTGGGATGCTTAGAGTCACCAGACCTGGACTTCATTGCTCAGCCAAACTAGTCCCAGGGCATCAGTTATTCCCTGGGAATTTACACCCAGGGAATAGACTAGAAATATGGAAACAGAATGGTCCCTGATAATCTGAAAACACAGAAATTATTCCCTTACCAAGACTGGCCCCAAAAATATGGTAAACCCAATACAATCAGAAAGAAAAATTATATATATATTCCCAAATATTTTTTTCTCACCTTTAAATTTGTGTGGGACAATTGATTGACAGCTGCCTAACACGAGTGTTTTGAAAACAATGAATACAACTGGCTCTCCATATCCAGGGGTCTCACATCTAAGGACTAAACCCAGGGCAGATGGAAACTATTGGAACAAAAATGTTATGTTGTTGCTGACTTATACTATGTAGTTAGGCCTATGATGGTTTTGGGTTTTGTCTGAACTTAACATGTACAAAGTTTTTTCTTGTCATTATCCCCTAAACCAGTGGTTCTCAACCTTCCTAATGCCGCGACCCTTTAATACAGTTCCTCATGTTGTGGTGACCCCCAACCATAAAATTATTTTCGTTGCTACTTCATAACTGTAATTTTGCTACTGTTATGAATCGTAACGTAAATATCTGATATGCAGGATGTATTTTCATTGTTACAAATTGAACATAAATAAAGCATAGTGATTAATCACAAAAACAATATGTAATTATATATGTGTTTTCTGATGGTCTTAGGCGACCCCTGTGAAAGGGTCGTTCGACCCCCAAAGGGGTCACGACCCACAGGTTGAGAACCACTGCCCTAGACAATATAACAAGTATTTACATACCATTTGCATAGGTATTGTAAGTAATCTAGACATGCTTTAAAGTATATGGAGGATGTATGTAAGTTATATGCAAATACTATGCCATTTTATATAAGGGACTTGAGCATCCATGGACTTTGGTACCTATGGGGGTCCTGGAACCAATTCTCCTTAGATACAAAGGGACAACTTTGTATAACCACTATTGTAATTATGTTAAAATTATCAAATGGTTTAGAGATAATGAAACTAAACAATCTTGCAAATGTATTCCCTCAATGAAGCATATGCCTATACTAACGCTACAAGTATTTGTTTTGTTAAGAAATCACATTTTGCACCAGAGATGTGCTTTCTGATCCTTTCCATCCTTACGAATATACACAACGCGTGTAACAAAGAGCACGTGCACAGCTACAGGATTTAAGGATACAAAAAACAAGGCAGAGCAGTGTATCCCCATGTCCTTCTCCTGACTAGCAGCAATTAAAATTCACAGCTGCTGGCTGCCCAGATGTTTCGTGCATTTACTGCTCTGTAATATGCATCAGAATATATTGTATGACTGTGGTTTCAGTAAACTAGACAGCTTTGTATTCTAAATTCTGCAGACTAGATCCAGTGTGTATATTTTTTCTTCAGATTAGCTTCCTTTTACCCTCCCCCTTTCATTTGCTTGGGGCATTTGCAGTTCAGAAACAAAAGACATTTCCAGCTCAGAGTTTAGCTGCATCAGGGTGTAAGTGCAGGTCAGGTCTGATTTATGTGGCCCGTCAGATAAGCAGGAGAGGAGGGCAAGATGAGGGGCTTGGAAAAACTGGTGAACTTGCCTTGACTTATGTCTTTTGCTTTCGTAGGCAGCCAACATCCCTTTGGTGTCAGAACTTGCCATCGATGACATCCATTTTGATGACTTTTCTCTCGATGTTGATGCCATGATCACGGCTGCTCTTCGGATGTTCATGGAGCTGGGGATGGTTCAGAAATTTAAAATCGACTATGAGGTAAGGTGTACTGTCCCGGGTGATTCCGGAGTGCACTTGGGACACCATGGCAGCTACTCTGAGCCTCGAGTTTCCCAAATGCAAACTGGGGATGATAATACTTTCCCTGCACACTTCATAGGGTCACCAAAAAAATTACATGAGATATTTGTGAAGGGATCTGAATCGTCCAAGATGACTCCGAGGCATCGTTTGGGTACTGGTCCGCCAGACACACATACAACTGCCTGACACAACCTTTCCCTTCCCATTTCAGACACTGTGCCGGTGGCTTTTAACAGTGAGGAAAAATTATCGAATGGTTCTGTACCACAACTGGAGACACGCCTTCAACGTGTGCCAGCTGATGTTTGCGATGTTGACTGTAAGTGTGTTTAGTGACGGTGAGAGTCATCTGTCAGTTGTGTGGGCCTCCAGGCCTTCTGCTTCACGTTTCCGTGTCTGTGACACATCACCGTGTGATTTATTTTACATGGAACTTACCTCCCTGGTTATGGGAGGGCATGTTTCACGGCAGTGTCTGAGCTTTCACTGACATTTGAAGCAGGTGTAGTCTTGGAATGATTGCTTGCGCCTCTTCAATGTTTTATCTTAGGAAACTGGTTCTTTTTACAAAAGAAATGCTTGGATTTACAAAGTAATCTTTTTTTGCAAAGGATATGGGGATGAGTAACTGAACAAAGAGATTACTGGATAAGACTGGCTGGTGGAAAGCCAAAGTAGGGGTGTGTGAACCTTACCCCCGGGGACACGGAAATCCTGAGAAGGCTGATCTGGGAGAATGGCCAGGGCGGCCAAGGGAAGCCCCAGGAGGGAGCGGGAGTGGATGTTCTCAGATGTAGGGGTGCACTAGGGGTGAAATCTCCGCTCCAGGGGCTGTAACCCAGTCGTGGTGGGCAGTCTTTCTTTATGGAGAAAACTAGGGCAGCTTGCCAGAAGTAAGCCTTGGAATTTAATCTAAAAGCAAATGTTTGTGGCAAAGATTGAAACAAAATTCTCTATTCATCTCCATTTGCTGGCAAGAAATAAGGCTTGTTTTGGCCTGATTTTTCAACTTAGACTGTTAAGCTATCATCTAATAAAATGTTTCCTGGCTTAAATTTATTGATTTCTTTAGCCTCACTGTTATATATCATGCCTTTGTATGCATACACGTGTGTATGTGCGTGTGAACATGTTTACTATATAAAATGAAAGGAGAACATGAGTTTTGGATTCACATAACAGCAATCTAAATACCTTACATCTCTGCACCCAGATTAAAACTTAAATCCAAAACAGGGAACTCCAAACGACATACATTTCCTTTCAGTCCAAATGAGCGAAGAGTATTCTGTTTCTTCATGAAATTCTCTGCCAATTCAAACTTTACTCATCCTTTAAGGCATTGATGTAATGCCAGTTTTTCCACGAAGTCTTCCCTTTTCTCCCCAAGCATCCGCCAACAATCACTTACTTCTCTGAGCTATGTCTGCCATGTGTTTTAAGTTACAGTCTCCTGTTCTCCTACAGAGTGGGCTTCTTGAGGCTGAAGAGATAATTTCTTGTTCTTTCAATAACTTTCACTTATTGGCTCAGCACCTGTTTATTGAGATCCTCACCAGCACCTTGTACTCTGTCATGCACATGGTAGGTTTTCAAGAAACGCATGTTGGATTGATGAACTCAAGTGTGCCGATAGCACAAGAAGATGGGACGAAAATGTCTTCACTTTTACACTCAAGGGCTTGTTTTTGGATCCGCAGCTGCGTAAGGAACAAGAAGACCAGCTTGGGAAAAGTGGACTGGCCCCATCCTCTGTAACTTACACCATGAAAAGCAGTCAGCCTGTCACGTGAGGAAGAAAGATGCTTTGAACTGTGTGCCTTAATTGCTCAAGTGCCAATATTGCTCAAAAATAATAATAACCACTTTCATTTTGCTTTTTCATATCAGATCTCAGTGGACAAGGAATAATTTTCTGTGTGCAGAGTTCATATGTCTGGCACACAGAGGACATTCAATAAAGAAATTATTAACCTGTTCTTTTGGAGAACCTATGGATTTATAGCGAAATCTCAAAATAAGGAAACAGGAACCTTTTCAACCAAGGGAAAGGAATGGCTGGCCATGACATTGTGAGTTAGAGATGGCAACGGTAGAAGCAGACTTTCATGACAAGCCTTAAAGTAGTTGGGATGGGGAAGCTGGCAAGAGTGGCAGGATCAGGGTGGGCACTTAGGAGTAAAAGGAAATGCATACCCAGTTGTCTTCAGTAAATGTTCCCATAAAATGGACCATCTTGATCCTTTTCAAGAAGTTGAAGAAAGCAGAACTCTCAAACTACGTCACCACAATGGTGGTACTCACACTGCCAGAATATTTCAAGGGTATAGTTATTTTTGCAAGTCTGCTCAGCAACCTTGAGGAGTATCACTGTTTGTTTATTTATTTATTTATTTTAATGTATATTTTATTGATTTTTTACAGAGAGGAAGGGAGAGGGATAGAGAGTTAGAAACATCGATGAGAGAGAAACATTGATCAGCTGCCTCTTGCACACCCCCTACTGGGGATGTGCCCGCAACCAAGGTACATGCCCTTGACTGGAATCGAACCCAGGACCCTTGAGTCCACAAGCCGACACTCTATCCACTGAGCCAAACCGGTTAGGGCAAGGAGTATCACTGTTTGAGAAGATTTGGGTTTTGTTTTTGTATTAATGCTAGGCAAACTGAGAGAGCTTGCTATTAAAGTTCTCTTGTGGTGTGTCGGGGGATGGGTATTGCAAAATAAAAACATGACTTTGGAAAGAATATGTTGGTCAATGTTACTTTTTTCTCCCTGGAATTGAAAGGAGTAACCACATCTGTAAAAAATATTATTTTCTGCTCATTAAATTTTGCTGAACTTGACTAAGGGTTACAATAGGTTGAAAATGTCAGCGTTGGTATGTTCCTAACACAAGCAATATCTTCTCCATCTTGACCATGGACAATCTAGTTCATTAGAATTTTTTAACTAAGGAAATAATTATAGAATTACAAAATGTTACTTGATCACTGAAGAAAAAAAGTGAATTTAATTCATTCATCAATCCTAATTTCTGGAATATGACCTCAATCTATGGCAAAATGATAACCTACTTTTTCCCATGAAAGGACACTCCTGAAGAGTATTAGGGTCTTTCACTGGTTTTTTATCATAAGTGATTCTATTTACATTCTAGTTGTATCTTATTCTGTTTCCACGTGTTAAGATAGAGCCAAAATCTCTATTAATCTGGGAGGGAAATCCAACTACGGATTCCGCCTGAGTCACAAAGCCAAGAAAACATGGCCTATGTGCGCTACATTTTCCTCTAGATGGCGCTCCAAGGCAAAGTTTCCCAGCCAGTTGGCAGGAAAGTGGGGGAGGAGTGAGGGGTGGTGGGGAGGGGGGGGGCGCCACACCTTACTAACCTTCCTTGAAAGTGTTTCTTAGAGAACAGGAGATACTGAGGCACCCCCCCCCCATATTCTTTTTGTTTTAGAAGAGACACCAACAAAGCCAGTATGTACAAAAGGGCCCCTCCCATAAGAAGAAATCTGCCTCCTTTCTTTCTGAGCTGTTAGCATGAGTAATAAGGCATTCTCCCCGTGACCTTGCATCTATGGGTGTGTTTTTTAAGCCCATTGTCTCTGGCAATGGGAAAATTCATAGTTGTGTGTCATTGCTGAGCAAATTATGACACTATGTACGACAGCACAAACAAATTATAAATATACATACCAGATTCCTAACCTTTAACCCTAAAATCATTTCAAACACAGAGAATAAACTATTGACTGGGAGAATTATGTTCTGCAAAAGTGTCCCACCTTATGTCTAGGTAACAAAGCAGTTTTGTTCCTTTAGAAATTAAAAAAAAAAAAAAGAACAAACTGCTTTGTGGGAGAGGCAATTTTATATAAAATGGTGGAAATTTAGTTCACTGGAAACCTTGTTAATGACTTATTTATTCCATGCCTCTGGATTCCAGATTTTTGAAACAAAAGCTTCAACATTATTCTTTGCTTCTAAAGAGATATTTAAATAGCTGAAATTGTCCAAATATTTTTAATTCCTCGGATAAACAGAGTATATAGTGCCGTTTATAATTTGTGATTAAGACAAGAAATAAAAACCTGCAGATGAAGAATAATTATACATATTCTCTTTATTTACAGAAGCTTGTAGAATAGATATTCCATCGAGCACATGCGCAATGAAAGGTGACAAACACACTTCTTATATTCACAGTACAGACCAGATAGAGGAAACAGCCGGGCTTTTGTTTGTACTCTGCAAAATAACAGGCATGTGGTGGAGCCGAGGTTGCAGAGACAGTTTTTGGTTTTATAAATGATGTATGAGCGTTGACAGACTTTCCAGAGTGGGGGGCGGGGAGAAGGTTTCCTTAAGAGTCCGTGTTCTTTACTATCCCATAAATGTAGTCATTAGCACTTTGGGCCGTGCCCTGCATCCTGGAGGGCTCAACAAAGATTCATTGAACGCGTGGACTTAGTTTGGGGTAATATGATTCAAGGAACCATGTTGCTCAGTGTCCAGTTTTTTTCCCAAAAAAAACTATAAAATGATGAACAACTGTCACTGCTAGAAATCTTGTTCTTTCATCCTATCACACTGAGGTTCAGCTAGGGTTCATACAGAATATTATGATCTTGCAGAATTCACTGAATATGAAAAGAGTAGAGCACATGATCACATTAAAATTTATAGTGGTGCTAGCCGCGTGGCGCTGGTGGGGAATTGCAGTTAAACACTAATAATGACCAAGTATCACGGCAAACACACTGACACCCCCTGACATTTCCTGGGGGCTTCCTAAATCTTAAACGTGAAGGTAGCATGTTTTGTTTAAGTCCTTATTTGTGTTGTCAACAAGGTTATTTTCACAGATAAGCCAAGCCGTTTTATTGATAATTCAAACTAGAGAGCAGAAGGGACGTTTAGGGAGAAAAATCCGTCCTGTTCGCCAGCTTGAGGAAAATGCGCTGTCTGCTGCCTGCCGGCTGCCGTTTTCAGGGAAGCCGTTGATTTTTGAGGTGGCAAATTTTTTCTGAAAGATCTCAAAAACACAATAGGAACTCTTTTCCCCAAGAAGAAGAGCACCAGTGGAATTTTAAACTAAAATATTTTTTATCAATAACCAGAATCCTAATTTCAACAGAAAAAATAATTGCTTTTAGATTATAACATTGAAAAGTACAAAGAAAGCTACAAGTTTTGTTCTGTAACAGACTGTAATAAAGTAAAAAAAAAACAACAGTCATATTTGTAATCATCAAACATCATTTTACATTGCATTTCCCTACTAATAATACAATAATAATACAATAAAAC